TTGATTTCTACGTGCTGTACATCAGTTGTCTTTTAATTTCACGGTTGGAGCAAGGCGGTTGTTTACTCAGTATATCGGTAAGTGGTCTAACTCAGCTACAAGAGGAAGGTAACTGGTGGAAGTGTAAGGTTAAATATGGAGCACAGAGAAAAGCAGGCAAGCTGATTATGATAATAAGGCAGTACCTGAACTGGTTTAATGTGTGCATAAAGTATCCTAACGTAGGATTGGGAGCTGAATGGTCCTGTGAAGTGTTTAATTAGAAAGGTGTTAAAATGTTGCAGGAAGAGAGACTGTGATGGAAACAGCGGAGGAGGTGAACGTTTCGAAGAGGGCAGACGTGGCTGCAAAGGGTGAAGCTGCGATCAAACCAGAGTAAGATACCGTTAATAACTAAGAAAACTGTGGAAATCGCATTTTTATGTTTTTGCGGCAGATTTCAGGAGAGGGAAGCTGCAAATTAGAACAATCTTTCTCCAACTTTCAAAAGAGACAGACAGCCATGAGTCAGGGGACTGAAGATAACGCCAGATTTTTATGATGAATGTAAGCCAGTTAGTAAGATGGGAGCAAGCATAGCTGAATAAATAACCATGTGTTTGAGTTTATGAAAGAACAAAGCAGACCATCTGACAAGGCACGTGACTGTAAGGAGGCTGTCTATATCTGAACTTGTTAAGATGTTCGTGTGAATTTATGTGAAAAAAACTGTAGAAAGTGTCTATAAGAGATAATAACTCATTTACACAACATAAAAAATATGACCCTGTAGGGGTGAAACAGGGGCTTTGCAACCCCCAGTGGTGTAGTAAGGACTTGCTGCCTTTATTTTCAGCCTTCCTGCTGCTTTGTCTGATGAAGCAAAGAGTGTTACACTGTCAGCAAAAAGGCTGTTGAAGGCCCTCAACTCTTTGCTTTCAGTGTTTATATAGCCCCTGCTTCTGTGCTACAGGGTCTTACTAGTTTAGCATAATTTACTCCCATTATGCTCTTTTTTCCCAGTGTGAATATAGTTCATGCTAAAATGCTTTAGAGACACGCAGACTGTTTTTACACATAATTTAAAACAAAATTTATCAGGAGGATTCTTTCATCATCTTCTTATGTTTGCAGATTCCTTACAACCAAAGACAAGTTTCATGGGTTGTTAGATTCAGAGTGGCAGGGCTCAAAAAGAGAGAAAGCCAGTGAAAGTGATGCAGTTGATGGTTCAAAGGAGACTTCTTTGGAGGAACCTGAACCTAAAAGGCTGAAACAAAATTTTGAGGGTAGACCAGATGGCAAGCGTCTTCGGGGACAGAATAAGTCAAGGCCGCACACAAAGCCCACAGCCTACGATGAAAAACGACTTTGTCACTCAATCATTCAGGTATGAAGCTCTGACTCTGCATTCAAAAAGGCTCTGTGCAATACATTTTGATCCATATAGTTATTTTTGTGACTTTTCCCCTCCATAAATTTAGAACAAAGAATGCCCCTTTGGAGCAAAGTGCTTCTTTGACCATGACATTGTCAAGTATATGGACTCTAAGCCTTCCGATATTGGGGAAACCTGTCACATCTACGAAACATTTGGAAAATGCGCCTACGGTTTGTCCTGCCGCTTCGCCAAGGCCCACACTACGCCTGATTTCAAATCCATGGAGAAGGCCGATCTGGTCAAGGTGTATGAAGGCAGGACTATGGTGAAGAACAACATGAGTAAGGAGCTCCAGGGTCGCCTGAGGAAGCGATCGGTGTCCTTCGAAAAGTCAGAAAAGTACCTGAAAACACTCTCAGACAACAAAGATAAAGGAGCACAGCAAGGCAATGGTAAGACGAGTGAAAAGGCTTTTATAAAGAATGCTGCCATCACAAATTTTGCTCATGTTTTTTTTAGGAAGAAATGGATACTGAGTATGTCACTCAAGCCTCTTTTTCACTAGTACCCACTTGCCTCGGCTCGGCTCAACACGGTTTTGGTCGTTTTCCATTATAATTGAGTAACATCTGTTGTGCGTGGGGTCGTTATAGCAACACAGCCAAAAGTCCAGTGATTTATAGCTTGTGACTTTCTATTTTTGTGAAGGGGACGTTCTCATAATTCATCAAGTGTCACCATTGATTGGCTTATTGGTGGTATACAAACTGTTGATGTCACATTTTCAGATCAGCTCACTTGAAACCGCGGCTGAGTACGTACTAAAAAAAAGTACCCAGTACCAGGTATTACCACCTAATGGAAACCCCTAAAACCGTATGGAGCATTTTGGCCGAGTAGGTACTAATGGAGAAGAATTTAGAATAACACTGGTAAATAGCAGTTTACTTA